GCCAGGCATTAGCCACTCCTGCTCACTGGGAGCACTGTGCAGCAGGCATAGGGGCCAGGAGGAGAATCCTGGTGCCTGGGGGCTGATTTGTAAATACATCAAGTGCTCCCACAGGGACTGGGAGTCAGCAGTGAGAGCTCCAGATCAGAGAGATGGACACTGGCACCGACGATAAATGGTTGTTTCTGCCCTAACTCCTTTTCCTGCATCCCTATTGGGGAAACGCTGCTAGATGCTTTTGTGGGGTTTTTTTTGTTCTTTGGCTGTTAGAGAACTGATTGGTTCTGAAGCCCTTTCTGCCTTTTGTCCATGTCTCTTCTCTCTCTCAAGCTGAAAGAGATGGTGGAAGCTGAGGATGCTCTCTCTGAAGCCAATGCCCTCGATAACACCAATGCTGAAGTGTGGGGATATCTCGCCCTCGTCTGCCTGCATGTGAGTGCCCAGCCCACTGGCCTGATAAAGCTGGGAGGCTTTATCGGTATCTCTTCCTGAGCCTGAGGACCATATTGTAGATCTCAGCAGTCAAAACAGTTCGGGGCCTGTTCTTGGGTGACAAAAGCAGCGCGCCCTCCTTGCTGCTCTTCATCGCCTGATGCACTTATTCCCCTGGGGAATGCCATTTGTCCTGGCCTTTTTTACAATACAGTGGCTTCTCGGAGAAATAAGTGTTTCCTGCAGGAGGGCTTCCTCACGAGCCACTCTTGTGTCGTTTCTCCAGGGAGGACGGGAGCTGGAGGCTGAGCAGTGCTACAAATACACCATAAAGGTTTGTGTGGGGCAGGGCAGGCTGTAGGCTGTAAAACTTTAATGTGATGCTGTGGCATGGAAGACAGGACATGGGAAAAGCCACCTGCTCGGAGCTCTTGCCTCCATGGGTGTCCCAGCTCATTGCTGCTACCGGCTGTGCAGGGGGCACGGCCGGTTCTGGTCCCTGGGGGGGATGATCAGTGGGTCACATCCTAGGGTTTGGGGTGTGGGCACCCCTGGACTTGCCTCACCTGCCCCTTAT